ATAACAAACGTAGGTAAAAAGTTATTATTATTTTTCGTTTACGATACAATTCAAGTCGCTATTACTTTCAAGTTGTAATTTTCTTTCTTTTCCTTCCTAAAGTTGGACGTCACAGAAAGCAAGAATAATGTCGGATATAGATGGTCAGATTATTAATAGCAAACCAAAGCTTGTTAACGATTCAATGGATATTGACACTATAAATAAAGATTATGATGGGACCAGTTCTTCCCGGCTAAATGATACTTCTTCTCAAATGATACATGTTCCTACCGCATCTGTAAATATTGTATCGACAGAGAACCGATCTGATTTTGTTACCCAGCCTACCAAACCAGAAGAAAAGCAGGTCAACAGTACAATAATCTCCGTGACAGCTCAAAGTGTTTTTCAATCGGTCGAAAAAGAATGTACTGTTTCTCCTGATAAAAAAGATGAATGTTCCAATAAAGGGTTACAAGAAAACATAGAAGGAAATATAGATAAGTGCAATTCTTCCAAACAGGAAACAGTGACAAATGTTGAATCTGTTCAGGAAGATATGGTTACTATTCTAGATGGAGGAGTGGTTGAAACCCCTCCGAGTTTGTTCCAAAAAGATATTGACGTGCCAAATAACCAAATGGAAGTGCATCCATCTATCCCTGACAATTCTAACACCTTCGTATCCCAATCCTCTGAGAAATCTTTTGAACCTGATCATCAATCCCCTTCAACAGAACTAGCCAATTTATCTAAAATTTCCACTGAGCAATTACCGCCTCAATCAGGATTAAATGTTCAAAATAACAATAACAAGATGGATACCGATGAAACTCCCAATGCCCAATATGACAAAGAGTTCAGTGGCGACGTAGTTCGTACAAAATCGGTCGATAATTTTGAAAACCCTCCTCCCCAAAATGTTAATGCCCCTGGGAATCAATTGCATGGTGATTGTGGTCAAAATTCACAAACTGCTTCTAACACAAATGAACCTGAATCGTCGTCGTGGGATGGATCCTTTCATTTAGATAATTCTTCGGAGCATAATCGTACCAGAGAAAATCGCCGATGGCGTGGTCGCCGCTCCCCAAGTTCTCACAATGATAATGATAGATCTGATCGTAAAAGTCCACTTAATCTACCAAAATTATCGGACGCAGAATTTCAGGCCTTACCATCTGGCTCACGTTTATTTCTAGGAAACTTATCTACTCATTCGACTTCTAAAAAAGAACTTTACGACATTTTTTCCCCATACGGAAAAACTTTACAAATCTCCATAAAGAATAGTTTCGGCTTTGTTCAATACGATAACCCCGAAAGTGTAAAAAGAGCCATTGAAAAGGAAAATGGTAGAGTCTTGCATGGTCTAAAATTAGGCATGTATTCTATTTCGATTTGATCTTTGATTTTTTAACAATTCGTTTTTAAGTGATATTGATTATCTACTCTCGATGCTTTCGCGATATTAGGATTAGAAGTGTCCCATGGTAAACCGTGGCATCACCCGCCAGCACAAGAGGAGGGATCCAACAAGTCCTCGCCTGCCAACAGACAAGGAAAACATTGGAATCAGAAGGGATATAAAGATAGTTGGTACCAAAATGATCGCGATTACACCCCAACAAGAGGGAATCATGGTCAATCACCATATCAAGAACGGCGTTACGATGATTACGATCGCCGACCCTCAGATTATAAATTTGATCGACGTGCTTCGTATGATTCGAGGGGTAGTTATGATTACTCGGATCAAAGAGATTATCGTCCCCCACAATATAAGGACGATAATGAGTACAGGCCTCGGGATGAGAGGAAATACCGCCGTAATTCATATCGTGAAGGTCATCGTGATGAGCGATACACACACCGTTCAAAACCATATAAAGTTCCTTCTCGAGATTACATGGAAAAGAGACAGAGTCGTGATCCTTATCGCTCCCAATCACATGATGAACCTGATGACGAGTTTCCTTTACCTCGGAGACAGGGAAATGACGTTCCGGAATGTCAAATCATCGTCCTCGAAGAAGTTGAACGGTTAGTTGGTCATTTTCCATTTAAAAAAACCAACTTCAAAATAATGATCTAAAAATTTGCGTACATCTTTCAACATATTAGCAATTTTCTCTGGCAAGTTGAAAGTTCTTTCCGCGAGGCATCCGTTTCTGTCCACACCCTTCACCTTTCCCGCAAAGTTCAAATTCAAGCCGTCATCCGTCAGATGATTGTAGAAGGTGTTCATGCAGTTGTTTTTATGGAAAGACACCTCGCTTTGAATGGCCGCGTAAATATGCAAATTTTTGATCAGTCAAGATTGGGTGATAATGTCAAATACGATGGTCGGTATTTCTTTAAAAGAAGTATTATAAGTAAACTAGTTTTGTATTAATCACATGAAGATATTGATATGCGAATATTAATTTAAATACAACACAGAGTATAATAATATTAAAGTCGACGAAGCTGTCGGTCTCCTGTTAAGGACTCGCGTACCGCAACGGACAGGCGGTGAGCTTAGACCCCCAGATAACTTAATGATTAACGGACAGCCAATTATTCCGCAAGCCCAGCAGCCCCATTCAATGGGTGGGCAGGTTGGTTCCGCAGGACTTCACTCCATCTCTTTGAATAACGTTAATTTTGCTGCCCTCGCCAGTCTCCTTGGTACCCTTCAGCCCGCTGCTAATCCAAATCTCGGCATTCAGCCAATGTCGATTATTCCACCCGGAAGCATTCAAACATCTCAACCAGGATTGTTGGCCCAACAGCAACCTCCAAATATTGACGTTCAACAATTGCTCAGGCAGCTGACACCACAAAATCCTGGGCTTTCCAATCCACCACCTTACATGACTGTCCCACCGCATATCGCATCTAATATTGGTATACCTCCCTCATCTTTTAATGCTTCACTGGTCGGTCAGCCCTCCAATGTCATAACTCCTAACCCCATTTCACCCAATGGACTACCTTTGCCTCAACATCAACCTCAACATCTCAACCCCAGCCTTCCACAGTTTCCAACCACAATTCCTG